TCCTTTGATGCTGAAATTCAAAATCAGTTTGATGCAAAATTACTTGTTCTTAGAATTGACAATGCCCTTAAATATATACTAAATGTTTTTCAAAAGTGTCTTGAGTCGAGGGGCATTATCCATCAAACATCTTGTGTTGATACCCCTCAACAAAATGGAGTTGTTGAACGGAGTAATGGCCCACTCCTAGCTATCGTTCGTGCTTTAATAATTCAAATGCACGTTCCAAAACATTTTTGGGCAGATGCAGTTCTAGTTGCTGCTTAAACCGCATGCATTCTAGGGTCCTTCAAGCAAAATCACCATTCCAAATGATGTTTCCTGACAAAAACCCTTTTTCCATTCCTCCAAAGGTGTTTGGGTGTGTCTGTTTTGTTCATAATATAAGCCTGGGACGAGACAAACTTGATCGTCGTGCTCACAGATGTATTTTCTTAGGTTGTTCTCGCACTCAAAAGGGATATAAATATTACAATCCAACTCTTCATAAACAATTTGTGTGTGGAGATGTAACTTACTTTGAGGATGTTCTTTATTATTCCCAGGAAGGCAGTCGTTTGGAGGACTTCATTCTTCAAGAGTATGTTCTTCCAATTCCAGTTTTTAATTCTGACATTCCACCAGCTCTTCGTGTCTATGCTCGTTGCCGAAAAAGAGTAGTTAATCATGTTCCAACGACTGAAGTAGTAAACCCAGTCTTGCCACTTCCACAGTCGCTTCAATGCCTGGAGATTCTTCGATCTCTTCGGACTCTGATCTTGATCAACCTATTGTTGTTCGGAAAGGTAAACGATCATGTACCAATCACCCTATCTCTAATTTTGTATCGTATAATAAATTGTCCTCCTTTCTAGCTTTTTCTTAGTCATTATCCTCTATTACTCTTCATAAGTCCTACAGGGAGGCACTTTCTGATCCAGGGTGTAGGAAAGTTATAGAAGAAGAAGTAAACGCTTTAAAATTGAATCATACTCAGAACCTTGTTCCTAAGCCTACTGATACTCAGGTTGTTGGTTGTCGTTGGGTTTTTACTGTTAAACAGAAGCTTGATGATACTGTTGAGTGTCTCAAAACTCGACTTCTTGTTAAAGGCTACACTCGTACTTTTTCTTCTTCTTTTTTTTATAAGTAAGGCTACACTCGTACTTATGGCCTTGATTATACTCAATCTGTTCTCTCCTGTGGCCAAAACTGAATTCTGTTCGTGTGATAATCTCTCTTGCAGCTAATCTAGACTGGCCACTTCATCAACTTGATGTTAAAAATGCCTTTCTACACGGTGACCTTACTGAGGCAGTCTATATGACTCAACCACCTGGGTTTGAGTATAAGGGGGAGTGTGTGTGTCATCTCAAGAAGTCTATTTATGGCCTCAAACAACCCCCTCATGTATGGTTTGATAAGTTCAATAAAGCAGTGGTAGCTCATGGTATGACCAAAAGCCAGGCTAACCACTCTTCTTTTTTTAAGAAAACGAAAAGTGGCATTGTGATTCTTGTGGTGCATGTAGATGATATCGTTATCACCGGCAGTGACAAAGATGGGATACAAGTTCTAATCCATCTTGAGTTCTAGCTTTTCCTTACTAAGGATTTGGGCAAACTTCGGTATTTTCTAAGAATTGAGGTGGCTCGATCGAAGCAAGGCATTAGTCTTTCTCGGCAGAAGTATACTCTTGATCTCTTACAGGATACTGGATATCTTGGTTTGAAACTTGTAGCTACACCCATGGAGACTAATGTAAAACTTAAGGTGCATAATGGTGACCCACTCGATGATCCAAAGATGTATCGGAGACTTGTAGGTAAACTTATTTACCTCACAATCACTCGTTCAGACATCTCCTATGCAGTCATTGTTGTGAGCCCGTTCATGACGAGTCCTTGGGTACCTCACATGGAGGCAGTTGTACGAATCTTGAAGTATCTCAAGGGTGCTCCGGGACGTGGTTTGCTTTATCGATCTTCCGGACATCTTCGGATTGAGGGATACACAGATGCAGATTGGGCAGGTTCTCCTTCTAATCGATGGTCCACCACGGTTTAATGCACCTTCATAGGAGGAAATTAGTAACTAGGAGGAGTAAGAAACAGTCCATTGTTGAAGCAGAGTATTGTGCCATGGCACACACTGCCTGTGAACTTACTTTGTTGAAAACTCTTTTACAGGAACTTGGGATTTCAGTCCAGTACACAATTCCTCTCCATTGTGACAATCAGGCAGCTATTCATATCGCTAGCAATCCAATCTACCATGAGAGGACTAAACACATTGAAGTATTTTGCCATTTTATTCGATCTAAAGTTGACTCGAATGAGATTGTAACACCTTTTGTTCTGTCTGGTAGACAGCCGGTAGACATCTTCACTAAGACACTTCCCAAGAACTCTATTGATTCCATATGTAGCAAGCGGGGAGTTATTGACATTTACTCTCCAACATGAGGGGGAGTGTTGTACAGTATTGTATGAGTTGTCACACGTGTACAGTTAGTATTGTATGAGTTGTCACCTACCCCTCCTTACCATATATAGAATTACCATGTATAGGGTTTACTTCTTCTCCACTCACATACTCCCCTAACTTCTCCTATATAAACGCCATTGTATTATTGTATTACTGACTCAATAAGATATACGTTTTCATATATTCTCTCTCTCTCTCTCTCTCTCTCTCTTTCAACAATATTAAAGACAAGAGGTTGATGATAGGCCTGATTTGAGATTATTGTTTTCACTATATCTAATTTTGATGTCAAGTTATGTTGCATTACACTTTTAACACCACGTTATCAACTAATGCCGTTACATATGTTATCAATGTTATCAACTAATGATGCAAATTGATATTGCTAGATAAAAAGTACGGATGTTTTCATAGTTGTCATTTTGGCTGCAACATTGAACATAAGGTACATATAGTGAGATTTGATATGCATTGCTGGTCCTGTTTGGTATACAAGTTATGTGAATTTTTACAAAAGAGTAAACCTCAATCAAATGGTCGATTGATCAAGATTTTCGCAGAAAAAATATCCGATCGATCGGAGATTGTCCAGGGGTGCTCAATCGAAGGCTCAATTGATCAAACATGGCAGACATACTAATATGGAAACTCTCTCAAACCATAATTCTAAAAGGATTATACTTATCATATACATGGGTCTTCTACACTGGCTATAAATATGGAGTTATAGTCCTCTACAACTCTAGGTTATCTCTCACTGGAGCATTCGACTCTTGACAAATTATTGTGGAATTTCATATTTTTAGAGAGAAAGTTATGATAATCATACTATATGCTATTGAGAGAATCAAAGCAAGGAGTTTAATTAAGAATATCCACCCTAGCATCAACTATGGTTTGTAAAGAACAAGTTGAACAAACATCACTTGTCATTGGAGATCTCAATTCCATGAAGAAGCAGATCAGATGAAGACCGAATCTGTCAGTGGATCATGGAGGTTCTAGGGAGATCTTGCATAATTTTGAATCGGGAGGGTCTAGGTGATTCTAGAGTTAAGAGTGTCCATAAACTTAGTCTGTAACCTCTCTCTCATTCAGTGAGTTTTGACCAGTCGAGAATATACACCCCTTCCAGGTCTAAATCACCACACCCCCCCTGATACATTAGAGTCTTGGGGTCTGGTCTTACAATATTATCAGGTCCATTCCTTAACAGCTTAAACTTTTTGGTAATTTCCATTCTAACATGATATCATAACTTCAGTTCAACGAGTTTTGTGTTCAAACTTTAATTATTTGGTCTATCCCTTAAAAATCTAAGTTTTAGTAGCAATTAGTAGTTTAATATTCTACTAGAGTCTAGGTCCTAAAATATCTTGGGTCCAACTCAAGTCCCCATGTCACAATTTAATCCCTCCTGCATCTACTTGCCTCTCCACAAGTAAGACAAGGTGACACATGGAGGGTTCGGGAGCTTGATTTTCATTTTTTTACCCAGTTCCAAACGACTTAAAATTTAGAGTAATTCAGGGTGTTCCGAGCTTAAATTCTACGAAATCCTAGATACAACTCTCAATATCCATTTATTTCTAACTAGATTTTTCTGTATAAGTTTGTACTCTATTGTGTTCTGTCTATTTACCACAAGCAAAACGGAATAGCATGTGAAGAAGGGTGTGAGTGATTCAAATAGATTGTTGGGTTGATTTCTTAGTTGTTCAGTATTTTGAGGGTATTAGTATTCTAATATGGTATCATTGCTTCGGTTCAATGAGGACTTGGGTTTAAATCTCCCCAATCGACATTTGTTACAAATTAGCATGTCTGTATTTTTATTCCATTAGTCTGTTTTACCAGTCACCACGTACAGGGTTGCAAATGAACCCAGGTGTTAATGAATAATTAGGGCTCAGCTCAAAATCGTTCATCAAGTAAACAAGCCAAGCTTGAGCCCATTTTTTAAGCTTGTTTAACAAACAAGCCGAGGCTAAATAATATCGAGCTCAGCTCGATAGGCTCATGAACAGGATTGTATACTTAAAAATCATATTTACATTTCTAGTTCTTATACTTAAAAGGTTTAGCCCATCAAATATAAGTTGAGCCTAACTAACACCATTACATAAATAAGGCCCAAACAGCCCACGAGCGATATCTAAGGGACAAGAATTCAAAACTATCTTAGCCATTAATTTAATTAAAGAGATAAGAAGAACCTAGCAACCATAGCCGCACAACCCAACAGCCCCTCTCCACCGAAAATCCCATGCCATCAACCCTCTCTAATGGCAAATTTCGTTTTCATTCTCAGATTTCTCACATGCAAAGATATGTTCCAAATGTTAACAATAATAAATCAAAGTTGATGCACCACCAAAAACACATTTCACAGAACAGTCAACAGTGTAAACATTACGTTACTCCAAGATGTATTTTCCTAAAATTCACCCCACCCCACCCCACACGCGCGTGGGGTTGGGTTTGGGTTTGGTATCTCAAAATTTAATTATTATTATTATTATGATGATGATTACCTGTGCACGATATCCATGAGAACAAGCAGACCTAGCTCATGAGCTCTATCTATTAGAGACTTGAGCTCATCAGGTGTTCCACACCGGCTGGAAGGGGCAAAGAAATTTGTGACATGGTACCTGAGCCACACACACACACACACAAAAAAAAAAAATTAGCAATTTCAGTCACTCACTTGTAAGTACCATGATATGGAAATTAAAGCCCCACCACAGCCAGAAAACTACTAATGTTATTAGCAGCTCAATAAACAAAAATATATAAAAAAGAGAGAAAAAAAAAATTACCCAAAGCTTGCATAATACGCATGCTCTTGAATAGCCATGATTTGAACAGCATTATAACCAAGCTTTTTGATGCGAGGGAGCACATCATCTCTAAAGTTGGCGTACGTATTTATCATAGGCTCCTGCATCTCAAAGTCAAGAGTACTGTCAATACCAGATATATAAACTTTAATGTAACATGAAAGCAAAAGCACAAGGTCTCAGAAGAAATCGCTAAGTTTTTCCAAGACAAGTTGACCCTTTCATGCGAAGCAATTTGAACTGTTTTCAAGGAAAGAAATTTTGGTGAAGTTATATAGGGGCAAAACTACCAAGAATGGTATTTTATATGTCCATCAAAATCAAAATAAGACTTCAATGAAAACGAGATTTCTAAGAGTAAAATAGTTATACAGGTAATAAATGTAGTGATCTTCTTGGTTCCTAATTGAGTTTTAAGGAATATCCAAGAATTGGAGCATGGATCCGCATAAAAAATCTTTCTATTCTCATGAGTGTGCATGAGTATAGTAAGTAATATAATGCCAAAAAGTAGATCTCCAAAGAATCAGCGTGAAAGACTGGCTTTCAAAGTGCCAATTAGCCATGTTTCAAGGGAATGTAAAGAATTTTCATTTATCAGGAACACATACGATATCTTTGTGCATTGGTGATCAATAAATTCGCAGTCCATGGGATCTAGGATCTTCTATACATCTCATGAAATTCAGGCTTAGCCCCTCTTAAAGTTCTCCAACAAAAATCATTTAAAACATATTTAAAAAAATGTATAAAATTTCAAAGGAAAAAAAATATATGTTGATATGAATAAAGTAATATCAATCAGGAACTTCCATGTGTAAATGAAAATCCTCAAACACCCTTTTGACAACCAGTGAATTCCATTCCCAGAAGCTGAAGCTACCAAAAGCTAATATTGGGCTTCTTCTAGTTCATCTGTTCATGAGTTCTCAATAAGTCAAAATATCAGGATAATTTGAGAAGGAGAAGCCAGGTGGTGGTCAATCGTTGTTTTATGTGTCTTAGTGATGAGGAATCTGTGGATCACCTTCTCATTCATTGCTCTTTGGCTAGAGAGTGTTGGGATTTGATGCTTGGCTTATTTGGTTTTTCTTGGGTTATGCCAGGATCTACTAGAGGGTTGATTGAGGCGTGGAGAGGTTGCCTGTGGGGGATCTCAGTCAGGATGCGTGGAGGGCTACGCCGCTTTGTGTGTGGTGGTGTATTTGGCTTGAAAGGAATAGGAGATTCTTTGAAGGAAAGGCGTTGTCGATTTCGGTGCCTAAATTCTCGATTATTTCCACTCTTTTTTGTTGGGTTTCAGGGAGAAATCATAGATCGTTGGAGGAAATTGTTGACTTTTTGGCCTCTTTGAAGGCATGAGGCCTTTGTGGTCTTTTGTATTTTCTTGGGTTCCGCTCCCCTTCTGAGCGTTTTTTTTTAAATGTTTTATTTATAAAAAAAAAGAGTCAAAATATCAGGGGTAATTGAATAAAAGGAACAAAAATTTCCCAGAAAATTGGTGCCCAATGTAAAGGTAAAAGGTCAACGAGGTGAACAGAAAATACAAACTAGTGAGTGACCTCACAATCATAAAAAATGAGAACTCCAACTTTTCTGGAGAAGCTAAGGCAAAGGTCTTTAGAATCTTGTAATTCGGCGCTCTCTCGTGGACTAAAAAGATAAGAACAAAAAACTAGTTGACATTTTATACGAAGCATTCTACATGAGGTCCTAGCAGGTTTTCTGCAACCCACATTACACAGGCAATCAAATATGACGGAAGAGTATGTGTTCCCATTAGTGAAGAAATATGAAGTTTCCATAAACATCAACGAGGTTTCAATTTCAGTGACAAAAGGTCAAGGAGATGAATTACATTCCAGAGTCAGATTAAGAAGTCAGATTAAATGTAGCTAAAGTTGGCAGACTTGCTCTTCTACATGTTCCCGAACGTGACAATTGCTATATTGTATAGCCAAATTTCTGAATGACAAAAAGAAATAGAAGAGGTGTGGTTTTACAGAAAAACCATCCAAAGACATTTAATCATGATTTATGGTCAAGGACACTACTGTTGCACTTCAACACAGAGAAAAGAAGTCTCGGATGAGTAAGTTCCCAAGAAAATGTTCACATATTTGTTCTTTTATTACTATATTGAACATACATATCTCTTTCATTGTATATAGCTGTTTCATATTTCATTTTCATGTTCACATATTTGTTTTTTATGGTATTTACATTATTATCTTGCCATGCAGAAGACCTATTAAGTCTAAAATAATGAAGAAATCAGTAACATCATATAACAGGTTCGCCAACCGTAAGGCATAATATACTTGTAACCTATAAGTTTTCTAATAAATACAGCAGTATTCTTTAGTCAGTGTCCTAACTATTGCCAGACACAAGTGAGCAAAAAGTGTGCACAAATTCCAGATAAGGAAGTTTAGCAAATCTCATGAATCAACAAAAGAAACGTTTACAAGTAAGATAAAGTAAGATGAGCAGAGGAGAGGATGCGCACCGTACTACTCATTCCAACATGTGCCTCATAAATCCTAAGTGATTTTGGTCTCTTTGGCTGAGGATGCTGGAACACATACTTCTCCTGTGGAGAAATGAACATCATTAGCCCAAAGAAAGAGTGGAAAAATAATAACAGCAATCACTTTATTTCACAAAATAAATAAATAAATAAATAAAATCTGATCAATACAACCATTTTCCCCCTTTCAAACAGTCATGAGTACTTGCAAGTTCAACAAAAAGATATAAAAACATATACTCCGTAATATGGTATATATTTTAATTACATTTGAATTGTTCAAGATTTATCATTTGGAAGGCTCAAATTTCAAAGAAAGTCAATAAAAACAATTATTTCAGTAGTTATTATTTCGGTATTTCCAGAATTATATTACAGAATTCTCTCAAATCATTGATTCCATGAACTGCTACATACATTTGTTAATGCCTCCTTTGTTTCTTCCCCAAATCACACTTTTACGCAACACCACATAATTCCCAACTCAACAAACCCTTTCCCCAACTACTTGGGGTCAGCTACATGAATCTCAGCCTTGCATAATTCCATATCCTAAAGTCTACCAATCTCACAGCAAGAGAAAGAAAACTGAGTAAACATACCTCTTCTGGTGGATCATAGTAAATCCCATTATATGGAATTTCACTAGGAGCCTGTACAGAGAACTTGATCCAGGCAGGAATGGAGTCTTTAATGCCAGATGGAGTATCCATGCGGATCTACAATGTCATTAAAAAGATGGTTACTTTCAGAAGCATAAATGCAATTACTTACCTTCACAATATATGACACAACTAACAAAAGTTTACACGGACTGTGATATTGACTGAACTGTTTGAACCCTAATTAACACATCAAGTCTGTCTTAGTAGAAGGCCTAGGAGAAACTCAGTAATCCATAATCAATTCCTATAAGAAACCAAACGTAAAAAATATGTGTAACTGAACTCCACACTGATTTTGATCAGAAATTGTGGGAACTATTAACAAAACAGTATTGTCGAATGCTAAACAATCTATGATTCTCTATAGACAACCTGTAATTAATATGTATATTAGGAAAGGCTGAGAAATTAAATCACAGAAACTCAGATCTTCAACCTCAGAGTATTCTTATCAGACTTGTTAAATGGATCTACTCATAACATTGGCTAGTACAGACATTCCCTCATCGCACGTAATATGGTGGCAAGAGTAAATATTATCTTAAGTCAGTATCACCGCAGTGACATAAAGAAGAAATACAGTCAACTCCCACAAGCCGGACCAAATATGTAACAACTTAGAAGTTTCTTTAATTCAATGTCAGCACAAACTTAGTGCAATGCAGGATACTGCCACATAAAAACTACAGAATCCTAAGTTAGTTATGGAATTTGTGAACAAACCATACAAATATACAATCAGATTCGAAAAATCAATTCATCAATTAAAAGGTCGTAAAAGTTAGTTATCTTGGTCTACCAGTAATAATCCGTCTCACAAGATGCCAAAGACAGCTACAGGGCAGTGAATAAGGAGGTAGTTGACTCTTTTCTTTTTCTGGTGTCGATCACACATATACACAAGTGTGTATAAACATCACATACATAAAATATTTCTTATCTGATAAGAATCATATTTTCTTTTCTCTCGAATATAATAGGCTTATTATTTATTTATTTAATTATTCATCAACATATAAAAATCTAAATATATAGTGTATCTTTCATTTGATTTGGGAGACTACTCTATATAGGTTGAAATATATTTATATTCACAGCATATGCTACATAGTAATGCATGATTTTCAAGAGTTAGCAAAATTAAAGGCTATCATGATTGAGGGTTTCTTTGTTGTAACATGACTAATGTTTCCATCCAGTACAGTTGGACAAAACAAACAAAAAAAGATATGCACACAATCATATTTAAGCAATATCCATCAATCACAGTTCTCCATATAAAAAAGATAGAAAAAAAATTGTAACTAGACAGGATCATTTTAATTATTATCATTTCTTTTAATTTTCTTTTCTTTGGGTGTGTGTGTGTGTGTGTGTGTGTGTGGGGGGGGGGGGGGGGGGTGCCACAAATTATAGTAATAAAAATTAAAATTTTGTAGTTCATCCAGGAGAAATGTTACCTTCACTCTTGAGCCATGGGGAATTGGTGGAGAACCATCTGCATTATTCGGCAAAAATATCTCCCATACACCAAATTCATTCTGTTCACACATTATCAATGAGTTTCATCTCGTATTATGCCATTGAAAAGATTTTCAAGGATGACAAGAAAAATGGAAGTTCCTATAATTCGCTGTAGATATTAACAAATAATCATCAAATATAAACTAACATACACATGCTTACAGGCTTCTCCTTTTAAGCAATCCACCCAACTTGTTAAACATAGTATTATAATCGATGTGCAGGAAACTTGGTCCATTGTATAATGCAGCATAATAACTAATACAAGGTCAACATTTTGATTATAAATCTGTGATCCAAACCTTACATTGATCTTCTTCACAAATTTATACAATCAGCTTAAGAACAATCCAGTTTAGGAAGCACCGCAATTGTTTAAACCCCTTATAAATTTTAAACTAAAATCTTCAAGATTTATTGAGCTAATCAAAGTGTTAAAGCTTGTATAATGACTAGGATTAATGGAAATAATTTTCTGCATTTTTTGGCTGATTTTCGGTTATGTAGTATCAACTCGAGGTTCAAATGAAGTTCACCACAAAATGAAAAAGCTAAATCTGCAATAAGTTACTTTGTCAAATGACCAGGTCCGGAGGTTTTTTTGTGATTTGAAGTGTTAGGTTTATTTTATTTATGATTATGAGAGCAAATATGATTTGAAACATCCTCTGGATTGTAAATGGACAGAGAAGAACTTCACTGTCATAAACTTAATGAACCATTTTTTTATTTTATTTTTTAAAGTAAAATATCATTAAAGGCGCTCAAAAAAGGGGAGCGAGCCCACAAATGAGTATCCCGTCCTCATCTTTCAGTGTTTTCATTAATGCTCATTCAGAGATTAGGTTTTTTCTCAAAAGCTACTGTTAGCAAATATGATAGCCACGATTAATGGAATGACTTACCGTATTAGTAGAGATTTGATAATGCTATAGAATATGCCATAGAATATTCTGTGATTTTATTTTATTTCCTTTCTTTGATTTAGATTGGATTTTATTTCCTTTCTTGTAATATGAGCATGTCCTCTTTTTTATCTATAAATACTAGAGTTGTGAATGAATGATTATCTTATTCAAGCCTTTACACAATTCTCTCATTTTTTTTCTTTCTTTTTGTTTTTTTTTTTTTTTTTTTTACTTGGTATCAAAGCCAGGACAATCTAACTGCAATGAGGGCATTGCGAGTTCAGCACCACCCATTCGGGAATGGTCTAAGCCTCTAAGGTGACATCGCCCATTCTGGAGGTGTCAGGGGGGCAGGGTGTTCCGACCTCAATGAGGGTGTTGCGAGTTTGGCACCACCTATTCAGAAATGGTATGAGGAGACATAATTGTCTCTTTTTTATGGTCTGAGGAGACATCGTTGATTCTTTCATCTACATTGTTTAAACATATGTATGAAAGAGAATGGTCTGAAGAGACATTGTTAATTGTTTATGGTCTGAGGAGACATTTTTATTTGTTGATCGGCGCTTCATTTGAGAAAAAATCATCTCTGGTCAAATTCCCACTCCATTTGTCATAAGCTCTCAGCATTTGACAATGCATTGTCCAAGTTGGACGTTTCAGATATCCACGAACCAACTTGAGGGGGAGTGTTAGTACATATGATAGCCACGATTTATGGAATGACTTACCGTATTAGTAGAGATTTGATTATGCTATAGAATATATCACAGAATATTCTGTGATTTTATTTTATTTCCTTTCTTGTAATATGAGTATGTACTCTTTTTTATCTATAAATACTAGGGGTGTAAATGAGCGATTATCTCATTCAAGCCTTTACACAATTCTCTCATTTCTCTTCTTTTTATATTTCTACTGCTACCTTCAAGGGACACCGACATTTATACTTGCAAGAAAATTAGTGTGTTTTTTGTATTTTATACTTTTGACAAGTCAATTTAAACCTCTAATTGGGTTTCAGCTTGATTTCAGCCGTATGAATATTATTGTTGTTAAACAACATCTACTCTAATGCTCCGTTTGGTTGGAGGGATGGAAAAGTTGATGGAATGGACAGGGAAAGGATGGATAAGGCATCCATAGGGAAGGGAAGGTGCATCTCTCGTGTTTTGTTTGGTTGAATGGAATGGATAGTAGAAGATGGATGGGGTGACACATTTTTTTTGTTTAGTTGGAAGGAAGGGAAAGATAGTTTTTATATTCATTTTACTAATATGCCCTCATTATTTAAAATTTTAAAAATTCTATATCTATCCCAATTTTTTAGGAAGGTTAGAAATGAAAATTCCATATTTGTGTTAGTTATTACATCTTTCTCTCTTCTCTTCCTACAAATTTTGGATGGATAGAAAAATACAAAGGAAGGAGGGATGTTCCATCCCTCCTTGCTTCCTCCCTCTTTTCCCTTCCCTCCAAGCAAACACGAATAAGTTAATTTATTCCCCCTCTCATCCATCCCTCATCAATCCTTCCCTCCAACCAAACATAGCATAAAAGCTTAAGCTTTTAGAGAAGGTGTAACTTTAATATTTAAATCCTTCAACACGCCCCCTCGCGTGTGGCCTTCTTTTTTGTCCAATACGTGTTTCAATTTTTATTATCAGGGTGACAGTGAGGTTTGAAGACAGGAACTAGCTTGCTCTAATACCATGTTAGGCATAGTGCAACCTGTATCACCCATTCACAAATATAATGTCCATTACACATCAATCCCCAATTCAACTCAACATAGTTTCCAGTCCCAACTACACTCTTGCTACAACCTCCACTAGCTGTCATTGGAACTAACATTGACATCTCTAATTACTTTATTCAAAGCAGGACAAAGAACAACGATACACTAGGCAAAAAATATGATGAAGTATGAAAAGAAACAATAGTGGAGAAAATAATATGAAAGAGATATTCGCAATAAAAAGAAGGGAGACAGACACTGAACCTTCTCTATAAAACAACTCTAACAATACATACCAAGAAAAACAAAACCTCCAACATTTATCCACAAGTTTTATTAGGTAATAATATCCAGCTTGTGCAGATAATTAAGAAAATGAGGCAGCTAAACATACCCGGGTCATAACATCTGCATTAGGATTCCAATTGTTGAAATCTCCAATCAATGATGCTGACTGGAAATAGAGTAAAAAAATACTTTCAGCACATTCAAATCAAATTAATAAAAATCTAGGTACTACATATAATAGTGTGGAAGGGAACATGACCAACCATTCAAGCAGAAACGTGAACCAAAAGAGGAAACACAGAACATATCATGATCCTGCAGATTGTTTATGACCACTCGATGATGTACTCCATATAGAACCATTTGAATAACCAATTCTCATAAATTTATCGTCCATATCCAAATGTCATATATTCACTATCAGTCGAAAAATAAATAATTAGAGATTACCCATTGGTCTAAAATATTTTTCCTGGTTCACAGAATTTTTTCCCGCTAAGGTTTGCGGGAAATGTTCCTTCTTCAAAACGTAAAAAGGTAATTATATTAAGCATTTTCAACAAGTAATAAGAAACCGAATCAATTGACCCAGGAACTAAATGAATATGAAAGATAACACCAAAAACAATCAAAATATTTTAAACAGATTCCACAAAAAAAATGCACCCAGAAGAAAATTTAGAATGTCAAACAAACCACCATCGCATTGAATTCTAAACAGATAAAACTTGGTCAGAAAGAAATTTTGGCCAATTTGCAGAGGATATTATATATTTTTTATTAGTTACTGTATATAATTATAGTATGCATAAGAAAAACAAAGCAACAGTAGGTAGATGGTTATGGTCAGACCACTTAATCACATGACATAAGGGAATTGGTCACACTTTGCTCCATATCATGGTTGTACACCATGAGCCCAAGTGCCAACATACCCTAGGAGATGGAATGCTTAGGCAGTGGTTTTGATTGTTCAACCAAGGAGGCAATACACATCAAGTGGTGTACCGCCCAGAGGCTTATATACAGATGAGAGCATAGAAAGAGAAGAAGGAAAGTAGCAGCCCTAAGGGCTCTCTATACCAACTCAAAATACATACAAAAGAAAAAAAAAAAAATTGATAGAAGAGGCTACTTGTGGTTATGGACGTGCCCTTATTCAACTATACTGACACGTGACTGCCAGATGAACCAGATGGATAGTGATGCAGGCTACTTTGTGGCTCTGGACTTAGTGGGATTTTTCTAATTATGGCAATTTGTCTCTTCAAACACAGGTAACATTTCCTCAGCAAAAATGAAGATGGATCAGAATGTTATATTCAAGAAGCATTACTCCTAAGCCTCCAAGCATGGCAGAAGCGGCAACATGTCATCATCGAACCATGAGCTGGCCATGGCTAGGCAAATGAAAAATACCTTGTGTGTGTGGCTAACAGGTAGCTAACAACACACCGTGTATGCCTTTCAGTGAAGAAGCATGCACACTCCATACAGACACTCCACGCACTGTTTCAACCAAAGGTCACTTCTATTGAAGCAACTAACATTTCAGTTACTCTATACAAAAAAGGGACTATAAAATAAATATACCATATTGATAAATATAATAATCGATATATCAAATATATATTCAAACTAATATAACTAGAAGGCATCTAACATATACAGTGATCCTATTATACACCAGTCTTCTATATTTAATTCTTTTAAATAATTTTTAATTACTTAATTTCACACAAGTTTTCTCCTGCCTCTTTGTAACTTATTGTAACGGCTGGGTGCTTGCCATCTGACCGAAAAGCTTAAGCTATTGACTAGTGCCAAATACCCGCCCTTATACGCTCAAGACCTTTCCCATCCTGATTTAATGTGGGCCAAGACCCCTCTAACATTATCCCGCACTCGAACTTGCAAATCCCTTGTTGCGGTCGGATCACCCTGCTTACCTGTTCCCCCTAACAGTGGGAGGACAAGCTAACGACCCATACACCACCCGGGTGGGCACTTGGTGTGACATCGGATCAAAGACTGGGCTACTTTGATACCACTTGAAACAGGTGGAGCATTTGGTGTCTGACCTAAAAGCTTAACTATTGAGTAGTACTGCATACCTGCAACTATATGCCCAAGACCTTCCCCATCCGGATCCAATGTGGGACAAGACCCCTCCAACACTAACCAACTATGTAAACAACTTTCCCTCTTCTAACCCATGCATCTTTGGGTCTACATTGTATATGGCCATACCACCAAAGTCTAATTTCTCTACTTTCATCATTAATAGTCATTATTCCTAACCCTTCCCTCACAACTTCATTATTTTTTTTTGACAAGTAAGATTTTTATTAAAAGCGCTCAAAAGGGGAGCGAAACCCAAAGAAACACAAGGGCCAATAGGCGCCTCAAACCTTCAAAGAGACCAAAAAAACAATAATCTCCTTAATAGATCTATAATCTCTCCATGAGACCCAACAAAAAAGAGTAGAAATAATAGAGAACTTAAGCATAGAAATAGGTTTCTCCTTTCCCTCAAAATATCTCCGATTTCTCTCGAGCCAAATGCACCACCAAATACAAAGGGGCTTAGCCCTCCAGGCATCCTGAATGAGAGCCCCAACAGAGACACATCTCCAAGCCTCAATCAACCCTCTGGAGAAACAAGGCATAACCCAATGGACCCCAAATAATCCAAGCATCAAATCCCAACAGTCTCTAACCATGCTGCAATGTAAAAGAAGGTGATCAACGGTCACCACACAAGCACAAATAACAACGATTGATCACCACCTGATTCCTCATCCTCAAATTATCCTGGGTTAAAATCTTACCCAGAAGGGAAGTCCAGGCAGGGAAGGCTACCTTAAGGGGAGCCTTAGAGCGCCAAATAGGCTTCCAGGGGAAAAGGCCTCTGGTGCCGACCAAAAGGCACCTAAAAAAGGACCAAACCTCGAAGCGACCCTAAGAATTAAGGTCCCAAAGCCAACAATCCGAATCCCCAACTGAGATCACTTGGCAATACAGAACCTCCAAAAAACGAGTAACCTCCTCAATCTCCCAGTTCTGAAAGTGCCTCCTAAACTGAACATCCCAAGTCAGTCTCCCATTATCGAGGTGATAACAGTCAACCACCATAGCCTGTCTGTGAGAAGCAATCCTATATAGCCGAGGGAAAGCAAAGGCAAAGGGAGACTCCCCACACCAGAGATCCTCCCAAAAACTGATCCTCCTGCCATCCTTGATCCGAAAACGAACATGCTTGCAGAAAACATCCCACCCCCCCCCCCCCCCCCCGAATGAAAGACCAAACCGCACCTCAAGAGAACACCACCCACCTCTGCTCTCCCCAAACTTGCTCACGATAACTCTCCTCCAAAGCCAATGCTTCTCAATCCCAAACCTCCAAAGCCATTTTCCAAGGAGAGACTTATTAAAAGGCAACAACCTCTTAATTCCCAAGCCTCCACACCGAATTAGAAGGCACACATATTCCCACCGAACCAAATGATACTTGAACTCCTCTCCTTTTCTCCCCCAAAGAAAGTTGCACTATAGTCTCTCAATTCTCTCAGCCACTGAAAAGGGAATCTGAAAGAGAGAGATGAAATAAGTGGGGAGGCTAGAAAGGGTGCTCTTAATCAGAGTGACCCGACCCCCCTTGGAGAGGTACTGTTTTTCCCAACCCACCAACCTCCTCTCGAATCTATCCACAACCAGATCCCAGCTCCCTACACATCTCGAAGGGGCTCCCAACGGTAACCCTAAGTAAGAAATGAGAAAAGAGCCGGTGCGACATCCAAGAATCTGAGTAAACATCTCGATCTCAGGACCATCCCCAACAGGCACAAGAACGCTCTTACCAACATTCACCTTAAGACCAAAGACAACTTGGAACCAAATCAAAACACATCTCAAATATCTCAGTTGGGACGCATCAACATTAAAAAGCACTAAAGTGTCATCCGCAAACATCAAGTGGGAAATCTCCAGTTGACTAGCAACATCCCTACCCACCTGAAAACCTCTCAAAAAACCCAAATCCAGCCCTCTTCATTAATCTGCTGAGAGCCTCCATCACAAAAAGGAACAAGAAGGGGGAAAGTAGATCACCTTATCTCAAGCCCCTCGAACAAGAGAAAAAACCCGTCGGGGCTCCATTCACAAGAACAGAGAACCGAGCACTAGAAATGCAAAAAAGAATCCATCTCCTCCAACGCTCACCAAACCCCATCCTCTCCAATAAGTAGAGAAGGAAGCTCCAACTCACATAGTCATAAGCCTTCTCAATATCCAACTTGCATAAAACACCCGGAACCCCACAGCTCAAACAGGAGTCCACACATTCACTAGCAATAAGAACGGAGTCCAAAATCTAACGATCTCCCACAAAGGCATTCTGAGAGTCAGAAATGACGCCATTCATAACCTTCTTCAACCTAGAGGCAAAGACTTTAACAATCAACTTATAAAAACAACCCACCAGACTAATAGGGCGAAAACCCCTGACATCCATCGCCCTTCCCTTCTTCAAAATAAGAGCAATAAAAGTGGCATTCAAGCTCTTCTTAAAAGAGCCCTGATCATAGAAGGCATGAAAAGAGCCCATCATCTCCTCACGGACAACCTCCCAGCACTCCAAAAGGAATCTCATAGAAAATCCATAGAAAATCCATCTGGACCTGAGGCTTTATCCCCATTACAACTCTTCAACACAGACAAAACTTCTTCTTCCAAAAATGGCTCTTCCAAAACAGAGCACTCCTCACTCGAAATAGAGTCAAAGTGAAGCCCTTCAAGCAACGGACGCCAACCAGCTGGTTCAGTAAACAACTTCGAAAAGTAATTAGCAAAACCCTTACAAATCTCCTCCTCCTTACAAAAAATCTCCCCATCCACCCGAATCCTCCCAATGTGATTGCCCCTTCTGTGAGCATTGGCAAGTCTATGAAAAAAAAATTTATTATTGTCGCCTTCCTTGAGCCACAAAGCTCTAGACTTTTGCCTCCACGAAATCTCCTCCACGACAGCAATCTCAGCAAACTCTGCCTGACACTCCACCCTCCTAAGCTTCAAGGGAACCGGCAAAAGGCCCTGACCCTCCATCCTATCGATATCAGCAATCTCAGAAGAACCCGATTCTTCCTCCAAGTCAGATTCCCGAAAACG